TTTAATTTATATAATATATTTCATAATAACAAACACGTTATGCAGTGATTTTATAAAATAAAAAATATTTCCTAAGGACATCTACCAAAACGTTTCCAGCCTAGGCCTAGTAGGATCCATATCGGAAAGTAGTGTGCGTCGTAATCAAATAATATTCCATACGCGTGATGGCTTTTCTTCATTGCCACAACGCGTTGAGATCGAATAGCATGTCAGCCACGACACGAATTTCGCTATTTGGTCTTTCTGTGATTGCCACAACGCGTCGTGCGCGTTTTCATTAGAGCCATAACACGAATTTCGCCATGTGGATGTTTTACTGTGACCACAACGCGTTGTGAGCTATTTTTCCGCTCACTGAGCGTTTTCGATCTTTGAGCGTAACATATACAACTTTCGACCTGCCTCTGATGGACCTGAGCTATTAACACCTAGTTCTGAGGGAAACAATTTCCCTTTAGTCTCCCTAACCAGGTAACTGAACCACTACGAAGTAGGAACATAACCACCAATTGGTCCTTCAGGGCTATTTTGCCGGTGGGCGCTACGTTTGCCAATACGACGTGGTCTCCATTCCATCTTGAGTAGATGGAACAGCTGTGGTCAGACCTTTTTGTTTGTATTAAAAGTATTAATTTAGACTACCATAATAGAAAAGTATTACCTATCAACTAAGGGGGAAAAAAATCGAGTTTATTTGAGGACTGGCCATTATAGCATGATAAAAGTATTTTCTGTAATTTCAATACCTAACTGAAATCACTTAACGTTTTCATAGGTATAACTAGTTACTAACAGGATATCAAATAACTAATAAATGAACTAACAGAGAGAGTATCCCTTTGACCCTAAAACTTGCCATTGTGCTCGACAGACACCGCAGGGCTTTGTTAGAAATCATTTGTAACTGGATCCTTTGTTGCCATCTGCTACTATGTTTTATCGACCTGTGGGATTTATTCAAGATATTTACTAACATATAATAAGTAGTCGCCCGGATACCTAGGGCTAGTGACTCTTTTGAGTATTTCGGCTCGGTGTCAATTAAAATTGTATAATTGACACCAGAAAGCTCTGCACTCGATGTTGTTTTTAAAAGAATAGCGCTGACGATTATATGATGACCAGTAGTGCAATCGCAGTCTCGTAACTCTTTAGTAATAGATTACGACATCTTAGCTAATATTATGAATGTACATATTTCCTTTCATTTTACAATATTGACATGTCTTTTGGGTGGATAAATTTAAGATAAATTACTAAGTTGGAAAAACTGCTGTCAAATCTATATTCATAATTTTGTATAATTCGGTCTTCGTTATTAAAGTGCAATTTAGTAATACAGAATAAGAATAGCGCTATAACATCGTCAAGATATCGTATCCTACGGCTAGAGTTATAGCTGAAAGAGTTAGGCGGCTGCTCTGTAGACCCCGTTATAGGAGGTGTTATTTGGTAGCTAGACGTTTTTAGAGATGGATAAAAATAAAACAAATTATTAATTAATTTGTACCCACTTATATAAAACGGTTTTTTAATTTATTTAATATTTTATACACTTATATACACAGATGCAACTTAATGTCATAAGCATTAAACAATAATTATCAATATCGACGTCATAAATTACTATTTACTACCACCCACACAAGACGTTAAAGTACGTCTAAGTAAGTAAGTCCCCATTATCAGAGGTGCAATTTGGTAAATAATTAATACTTACATAATCTAATTATATCAATCTAATTGTCAATATATAATATATTCAATCTAATTGTCAATAGATTGATATAATTAAATATTAATTATATATTTATTTTATTACTGTAAACATAATTAAGAAGTTATCTTGCAGTACAATCGGTCCAACCTAATAATACACACCAGGGGTGCAATCGCCTAACTCTCTAGCCATGACTTTAGCCATAAAATATCACATTTTATCGATTTTATGGTGATATTTCATTTCAGTTTACCACTTTGACGTGTACTTTTATAACGACGAACGAATTACGAATTACAACTTAGACATTTATTCCAAATTTTGTTCACCAAAAGACATGACAAAGTGGGTAATATGTTAAAAAAATATTGCCATAACATCATTAAGTTACCGGTCGCTCCCCTGAAGTCTACAGCAATCATTTAGCGCAGATAATTCTAATCATAAAAACAAAGTAGGTCAAGTAAAGTAGGATGAATAAATAAAAGACTATATATAAATATTTTACACAGTCTTTATTTGATATTTACGTAGTTAGATTTACAACAATTTACATTATCTAATTAATAACAACTGTATAATAGCATAGCAAAATATCTAGGAATGATAAAAGAAAACAAAAATAAAAAAGCTTACCTGTTCAGCTGAAACCAAAATTGTTGTAGATATACATTAGTTATTTTGGTCGGTACTAAAAATGTCTAACGAATGGATTTGAAACTTTTTTTACGTTTTATAATCTCATGATCTGAGTATATTTTTTAAGCATATGTACTTAAAAAATAAACTAGATATGCAATAGTTTCCAACTGTAGTATACCCTCGGGGAGGTAAATCAGCTAAACTATAGAGTTAAACATTAAATTATAATTAAGACAAAATTTAATTTCAAAGAATAATAAAACACTTTTTATTTAGAACATGATTCAAGGCTTGCTTTAAACAACAATAATAATAGCATGAACCAAAGCTATAGAAGGGTGCCTTAGAGATTTACGGTGTCTCATTTGTTCTATGGAACATGACGTTTGAACAGTTTGATTTATTACGTCATGTTTCATAGAACAAATGGGACATACCTGATATTTATCCGGTAGAGGGATGGAAAAGTTTTCCTTATAGATCATATAGTTATGAAAGTTTAGAGATCACAGCAATAGCTTTCTTAAATTTCGGTTTCAACTACAGATATAACTATAAGCATATATTTAACAAATCACAATAATCTAATACAAAGCTATCGGTGAGTTAAAAACAGAAGCCTCTTAGAATAATATTAAAAAACATATTTAATTTGTAGTACAAACATATTTTCACAGGTTATATTTATTGGCCAGTAATGATCACACATTTCGTTCAAAACGAACCAACAAATTAAAGTCAAGATAATAAAACGGTTTCAATAAAAGATGAAAATAGTGCTTAAGCCATTACTCTTGATTGGATAAAATAATGAACAGAACCTTATATGATTTTCATTATATTCTATTAAACATTCAATCTTATTTTTTACATAGATACTGCATATGAAAGTAACAATATATAGTATTTACTGTCTTTTAAAATATAAATTCGTTAAATATAACTACTACAGCTTTTATATAAAAAATTGAGGCCTCGTATAAATTTCTTTCACGTTTCTACATTACTTCTGAACACTTCAACTATCTACTTATAACTAATTTAAATACAACAAGTAATCAATTTCATTATAAAAATATAAAAAAAAATACAAAATTCATACAATCACGTAGACTATATATTCGTTTAGGTTAGTGCGTTCTGATTTGCTAAAGATCGTACGACCAAAACATGCGATTTCATCATACGAAGGTTTTACCGTCAATTTAATATATGTTCTAATAAAGATCATCTAACATTTTTCATTTTATGGACCCCATAACGATACAAACGATAAAAACAACACATTTCATCAGTAAACACATTAATGTGACTTTGAAATTTTTGCTACAACTCCTTTATTAGAGATATTTTGTTTAATTTTACTGTTAATCTCACATTAGCATATGTACGCCATGTTATGTGAACGCAGCGAGTATAAGACACTTAATGATGCATTTTTTATTATAAAATAATTATTAAAAAAGACTACACGCCTCATGAGTAAAGAAATAGTGCTCCAAATAGCGGACCCAAATTCAACTCAAAAGAGTTTTTTAACATTGATTTTACAATGGTAGCATGGAAATTAATAAATATGTATTAATTAAACTTTCTTACATTCGCGCGATGACCTAAAACTTTCGTTTTAGGACCAAAATAATGTATGTATTTTATACCGCCGTGCGACGAAACCGCATTATTACTCAGACGATTGTAACTAATTAGGTTACCAATTTATTTCGGTTACTAAATCTATCACATAACGCACATTTAAAAAAGTTCGAAAAATAAACAAAAGAAATAAAATAAATCTTGTGAAATCAATTAACTTTTTACTTGTGATTTAGATTTTTCCAAAACTATTGTTTTACTTTCTAACATTATTACAATTTCGACTCAACATGAGTCACGTAATAAGTTGAATATGTAAATACTCAACAATTCTAAAATATTTTTATATATGTATATTTGCAAATTGTCATGTAAATATTTTCAATGTGGTAAATAAATATAAAAATTTGTAATACAGGCACATTTTTGTACTGTTTAATAAATGGAATAGTATAATCTGTATAATATATTAACGATATGTCAAATTGTTTTAAAATATATTTATTTACAAAATATCCTACGCTTAATTAGATGGCACTTGTTTTTTCGTTTTTATACGCCATTAATATTACAGTCCTATTATAATTATAAAAGTAATTTATACAATTTAGTCTGCATGGCACTAGATTTACTTACCGTAATACCAATCCAATATCGATATTGATTTTACAAAAAATGCCTCTTTAAGAGATCGATTCACTTTTCATTAAAAAGTCTAAGCCACTTCGTTACAACAAAACTTTGTTTTAATTTTTAAAATTAATTAAGTACACCGTCTTTTAAAAAACACTGGAGATTCTATGAATTTAACATTCATAACGTTAAACTTTTGAAACAATTCTTTAGAATATATTCAAAGTCTATAATCAATACGCTGCAAATAACAATCACTCCTAACTTTAGTTTCCATTTCAAAATCACACTCACGAAATAAACTACATTTCATACATAAAGTGTCAAATTCACTCACGTCATCCAATTTACACTTATTGTCACTTCACATAACAATGCACTCAAGCTAATGAAAGAACACTGAAAGTTTTTAATAAAATTTGTCTTCTTCTAAGTCCAAGTTATTTTTATGATTGGGTTGGTTTGAATGCCTCCTCAATGTACCCATAGAGTCATATTCATTTGCTATGGCTTTAGGGTACAGTTTGGGAGTAGTCATTGCTGTGTTTTGGTTGTTGGCATTAGTTATGTTATTGCTTTTTGACAATATAATTCCGCTGCTACCTCCAATGCCGGTGAACGAAGGCTGTCGTTTCGCTTTCCGAGGCTGCAAAAGTAATAACAATATTTAAACCAAACCTTGTATAAATATCTTCCAAATTTATTTTGACGTAAATAATGTAATTTAAAACCGCTGCTGATGTATTCCCACGATATCAAATTCTTATTTAAAAATTACTTTCTAATCAGCAGAGCCGATCGCCAAACTCTAGCCATAACTCTAGCCATAGCTATGAATACGATTTATTGACATTAAAAATGAAAATGTTTATATTATTTTAGAATAGTCCTGTTTTATTTTTTACTGAATACTGAATTATATAAGTTAGACAAAATCATAAAGTCTAATTTCGGAAATAATAATCTATTTCGAAAAGAAAAATAAGTGAAAATGTTTAATTAAATATATACATATATAATAAAAACAAATAGTTACTGTACGAACAATTATAATAGATAAATTTATTCTACAATTTTAGCACGTCGCTAATTAATTTCTATATTTACAATAAATTTGTGCTCATTCGCATTCGGCTGAATCGGTTGTTCTTATTTACAATTAGTCTATCAATTATTACATAATGTAGTTTACCCCTACAGTTATAAAAGAATGTCAATAAGACGTTTTTATATATATGACTAATGTTATAGCGAGAGAATTAGGCGCTTGCTCTATCCTAAAAATAACTAAAGATAACCCATAATAAATCACAACATCCTTTTTCATCAAAATATAAATTTTAAACCATTGACAAACTCGACTATCCATCATTATAAATGAAAACTATAGCAAGTACTTAGTATGAAGCAATATGATAATGACAGAAGGGACAACGGCAAATTGAAATGCTTTCACTTATTTTGGTTAGACAATGGTTTGAAGCTGGTACTAAAGTTAGGTTTAAGCATATCTATTATTAAAAATTCTGCTATGCAAATATTGACTATTTCAAGTTTGATCTGCAAAATATCGATCATTATACGATTTATTCCTTTTATCTATAATTTCTTATTTTCGTTCTCTTAAATGAAACAAAGCGAAGAATACAAATCTATAACTTACCACCTCCTTAAGAGGCACTGTGACGTAACTATTTTGTTTTGCAGTTATATAGTGAGGACTGGAAGGTACGCGAGTTTTCTTGTTCCATGGAAGCCTTGAACCGCGACGTTGCACTAATATGACGCATGCCAAGCAAGTGAGGCAGCCTAAAGAGTAAAGAAAATTAATTGAGAAATATAAAAAATAAAAATTAATACTAATAATTAATTTATAATTAAAAAATAGTTAAGTTAAAACGAGAAAGAATTTCAGAAAACCGTCTAGTTACAGAGCCTACTCAATGCAAACAATTTAAATTTAACTCTATAAAATATCAGTAAAGATAAAGAAAACAAAATGTAATAATAAAAGTCCAAAAGTAAAAAAAAAATGTGGTCAAGTTGTGCCTTAACCATTTTATGTGTTCCATCCTTGTCAAGGGGAGTGCTAACCGTCTCTCCTTTCAATAGACACGATTACGTTGTAACGAAATTATCTTATATACTAAGTACCGCACAAAACTTTATCACCGCGATTCAGTGTTTTATCGAATATGTTTTAAAATTATCAGAATACTCAAATGTTTATAAGTGAGCTAAAAATAAGTGACTTTTTTTGTAATTTAGAACTAATATTAACATAAATACTTTATTATAACCCCGGACAAAAACACAAAATGTAGTTCAACAATGTTAGTTCGGCTCACTAGCGCCATCTTTTATCCATCTTTAGAACTAATCACAAATTATATCAAAATAAGTTTTACATATTTGCACATTATAAAAATAAAATATCATCCACTCGTTAAATACGAAATTAGAGGAAACGGTGAAAATATTTTGACATATGTAGAGACTATTATATAAACGTTAATTACATTTAACTTTACAAATATATTAATTCTTTAAATTTTGCACAAACCAGCTAGTTGCTCAAACGTGCATTAAAATTTTAATTAATTTAAAGCGACATTATCCATACAAATTAGACATTGATTAGAATTTAAAGGTGTCATTAAACGTTAATGGATGTTTGTGCAACTGACCGTGAAAGACATAAACAAATCAAAAAGACAAAGCGTTAATATGACACCTGGGTGGAGATTGCCTAATTGTCTAGCCATTTCTCAAGCCAAAGACCACAATTTCTTATCAAATATTATGTCAATATTTTATTTTACTATTTTGACATGTCTTTTGGTAGATAAATTTGGGATAATGTACTACATTGTACATATTCATCATTCTTTATCAATTATTTGTCATTAAAAGTACATGTCAAATCCGTAAAAAAAAAAACACGAAATGTCGTCATGGCATCGTTAAGATATCGTATCCTATACCTTGAGTTGTAGCTAGAGAGTGAGGCGGTTGCACCCCTAGAGCTTATTCTATTTATCTTTGAACGAAGGTTCGGAAAATTTCGAATCGTTCTTATAATTTTATTTTATTGACATCGTATCTGTGAAGATTATCTGTGCCTGAGTGGCAATATCAGATCCTACCTTCTTTACATCATAGTTATCGAAAACTACATTTCTTTGGAGTCTTATAACAAGCCTTCGAGAGTAGTAATATTCAATTGAATTAGTACCTTTGTATATAAGAACCTACTGTGATTTTGGTACATAATTTATCACTCACCCACAACAAAAGCTGCCACCACGCATCCGACTATAGCTCCCACGCTTAAAGATTCATTGTTTGACATTGTGACAAATGAGGCCATCTCTATATTTTGACTGTAGGCTGGCATTGCGTATAGTTCTGTAAAATCAGGTACATACTCAATTTATTATATATATTCATATTTAATTACTACACTGATACGTAAAATTAGTGGATTCCAAATTATAAATCGTAAAAAAAATCTTTAGAATTTAAGAAACTTTAGGTTTCAATACAATATGTATTTTAGAACTTTTTTGAAATATGTATCAAATCAGTTTTACTTGATATAATTTTTTATAATTGAATTGTAACATAATAGTAGCAAGATTTGCAAGTTTCCTGTATAATTTTCTTTATTTAATTATTTAATGTAATGTCAATACTTAACATGTACCAATTTATTTACTAAAAGATTTATTTCCAATTTACTATTATATTTAGTAGGTACACATTTTTTTTAATATAATGTAATTCAAATTAGTTATTAAACTAATACCTATAAACAATAATGATAAACGGGATTAAATAATTCAGAGTATTTATAAGTAGCCGAGTGAGTCGCACGCCGGTTTTAATGTGTCACCATCTCTAGAGGTCACGAGTCCCATTTTCGGTCGGATCAATGTAGAAAATTAACTTTTATATATTTGCTCTAGTCTGGGTATTATCGTCCCTTCATTGTCTCAGATACTCCATAATATGGGCTTTAGCTACTCATCTTGGAATCTGAGCAATGTATGTAATGTTGTCTATTATTTTATTTTATTATTAAATTGTCAATACCATTGTCGATTTCAGTATCGTCAGAAACACAAAGTGAAACTTGAAGCTGTGGACCGACGCAGGCACCGAACTGACATCCCCTCCGACGAACACGTTCGCCGTTCTCGCATTCGGACCACGGGCCCCACTCGCCCCACCCTGCGTCCGACTCTGTTGAAAAAGAAAGATCTTGACAATAATATAATATTGTGCTTCAAAAACTAGTTTCAACAGACTTCAAAGGTTAACAATTTGGCTTGTATGTACGGTATTTTATTAAAATAGAGCAATAATAATAATAATAATAAGCGATAATGTAATAGCAATATTCATTGTAAGCCTATAATTATGTGCATCTAAGCACTTGTGCTATATTTTATAAATCTGTATGTCTACCTACGAATACGTACTGCAATAAATATCTTACAAGTTAGACCACTGATGATTCTTTTTTATTAAGTCACTTATCTTTTATGTCACATAATCAAAAGCGATTCAGCAGTTTTGAAGATATAAAAAAAGGAAATAAAAATATACTTTAACTTTTTTAAAGGGATAATAGTGAAAATTAATTAACAAAACTTGTATTATTTGTAAACGAATATATTTAGGTATTGGCATTAAAATAATAAAACTGCAGTTGACTTTTTATTGAATTATTAAATAAAACGAACGCAATACGCTAACGCAATTATAGAAACGAAATTATTTCTGAAAATATTTTTTGTTTAATTCATTTTTGAGTTTGCTCTATCGCCTTCATGGATATTATAAATTAAATCTAAAATAGTTTTAAGACTACATAACAAATTTCATTTTACCAGTGCAACTATTAACGCAAACTCTCCTCTCCATAGCGGCGCCCGCATCGCATCCCTCTGGTGAGAGACACTTCCTTGTGCGCGTTCTGTGTCCAGTAGGGCCTCCTTCACCGCAACCGCCCGTGCATTCGCCCCATTCACTCCAACACGACCATTCACCTGAAATAAATATTGCTTTGTTATACAATATCAATCTAACATAGAAATCTCTTCAAAATGTATTCGTTTTAACAGCACTTTTTCCTAAAAGAGATTTATATTCGAATACTAGCTTTTCCGCCAGCGACTTGGGGCATCGTGGTCCTGTATTTTACATATAAACCTTCCTCTTAAATCACTCTGCCTTATTAGTAAACAAAAATTCAAAAATACAGATAGGTTTTTAGTGTAAAAGTTTCTGTCGGAAGATATGAAAATCACCTATCAGAATTGATAGTGCAGTTGAAGTCACATAGAAAGCAAAATCTAATATCCCGAGCACCTGAGACTGTCGAATTTTCATAGAATTAGAAACATTTAGTTTATGTTTTTATTATGTTTCTTGATTTGAACGATTATTTGTTCCAAAAGCAATCGCGACTTTGCAAATTACGTTACTCCCCATAAATCGCTTTGCCCTCGAAAGGGACTACGAATGATTTTCAAAATGAAATAAGCAGATTTAACCCACAGTGCCTATACTGTGTACTTGTTTTAGTATAATCTTGGATTCCGACATACCCTCACAGGCGTGCGTGTTGCACGCTCGCAGCCCCTGCGTAGGGCCAGCGCAGGGCGGTCGCCGGCAGCGGCGCGCGCGCTCCTGCTGCCCGCCCCCGCACGCAGCCGAGCATGCGCCCCACCCGCCCCACGCCTCCCAACCCGCCTCTTCCTCCAGCGGAGAACTGCTGCAACGACCCGCTTTATTGCAGTACCGCTCCTCTTCGCGAGCCAGTGACAACTGCAACAATAATAACAAAAAATTATATTGTACCATCATCAGTCTATCAATTACTGCTGAAGATTTCAATGTGGATAAATTTTCATATGGAAAACGAGCTATTTATCCTCTTTCCGAAGCACAGAGGAGCTGGAATTCACTTTTGTCCACCCATCCTATAACCGACCCTTGCTTTGAAATCCTATGAATTCACTCTTTAAAGAAAATTATTTAACTTATTAATACATGATGTTGATTGGAAACATAGGTAACAGTTGCAAGTATAGCCTTTTACTTGTCTTCCAAAAGGCATCACCGAAATGGTAGACTTTATATAAGTATTTTTATACGGATATCATTGTTATGAATGGCCTCTAAAATAAATACAATCTAAAACATGAGTGACTCCTTAGCACATTTTTTCATAAAAGCGTTTAGTTGAAATTCGTAATATCGAATATAAAACTCGTAAACCGATCATACATAGATACTCAAAAATCTTACTCTTATCTGTTCCGGAGATTGAGCTTTGCAAAGAAATTTAAACCTCTTTTCCATGTAGCTGCCATCAGATGAGTTATCTGCAGTAAAAAATAAAAATTAATTAACATTATCACTGACCGCACACTGACGCTTTTGCTTTTTAAACACTATAAACATACCAGGTATATGCACCCAAGGAGTCCAGGCTGTCGCCTTCCTAAGCTCACAAGGTCTCAAGTCGCAGATTTGTCTTTCTGTCTTGTTCCCCTCGCAGTCAGCACCTCCGTGTTTGGGCGATGGGTCCGAGCAATTCCTACGACGTTCCCTCCAGCCTGCTGCTTTTCCACAATCGTTTCCTCCGGCACTTGTGCATGAAGACCATGGACCCCAGGCAGACCAACCACCATCCACTGGAGCTAGAGCAGGATCTATAACAAGGCAACAATTAACACTTTTACTAAAATTCTATAAATAAAAAGTTGTTTTTCCGCGACCCGTAATTTAAAGCCTATGTCACACGAGTATGATGTGCCTGCCCGTAGGGGAAAGAATTTTAAAATCAGTTCAATAGTTTTGGAGTCATTATTCCTGTTCAGTGCAATATTATAATATTATAGAAAGATAAAAAAAATTATCTTTCTATAATAATATCAGTATAGATGAATAATTCAAACGATTATTAATCGCATTTACCTGGGCAAGGTGGTAAATTTGTACAATAAACGTCTTGTGAATCCAGTCCTACACAGACCCGTCCTCCAAACTTGGGTTCGGGGGCACTACACGAACGTCTCCTAGATTTTACAGCAATGCCACAACTCGCTGAACACTCCGACCATCCGGACCACGGCGACCAACCACCGTGTACTGTGCAATTCGTCACAGCTATGTGGGGACCTGAAAATAAGTATTACGTCATTTTGCAACGGATTCTCTTAAACACTTTGAAATAGTAAATTATTAGCGTAGTAATTAGTGCTTTCACTCTGCGAGTAACTTTCTCAGAGATCGGTCATCGGAAGGTTGAACGAAAATATATAATCTCAAGCTATGAAAAGTTCGATACCTCTTCAGCCGTTAATATCCACTAATTCACTGCAATGACAATGTACATAAATATACGATGATAAACTACATTAGTTAGAGAAACTAAGACCTTAAGAGACTGATATATCATCGGAATAGTATAAGCATATGTTATTTTCTGAGAAGTTTCGTTTTTGGGAAATAATATTTCAAACGTCAAAATGTTCCTGAGTCAGCATCTAAAGTTTACACTAATTAATTATTAATATTATACTCGTAAATAGCTTTAAAAAATCTACATGTTTTGTACCTTGGCACTGTTGTCCCCCATTGGCAGGTCGTGGATTGTCACAACGTCTGGAGCGACACATGCACATATCCGGCTTCTCATCCCCATAGATAGTATGTGATGTTCCATCTTGCATACATGGAGCCCATTCAGACCAATACGACCAGCCACCATCAACTGCACAGTCCAATACTCATCAGAATAATAAAGCAAAAATATGTTAAATTATTAAAAGTAATATATAAACAGATAGATATCAGTTGGTATACTAATCTTGAAATAAAAAAAAGCTATAGTAATAGATATAACACTCATCCAAATGTCATTCATCGCCGATTTTTAGTTTTACTAACAATTCAGTTTCAGCTCAGGACCTAAGATTACAGTTACTTTCATCCAAAACCAATTCAGTGTAATAAGTAAGTACTAACATTTCAACTTGGCGCAAACAGGCTACAAAATCACTCATTCAGGATTTAACTTATCAAAACTTATATTTGAATATATTGAACACCTACCAGGTATATCCACAGATGGGCAGTTATTAGTAGACTGTATGAAATCAGCCTCGTGCAAGTGGTCTTTTGCTCCTACACACAGTTCCCGTCCGTTATCCCAACCGCAATGTGGATCAGTTGCGCCTACGCACCCTGAACGACTCTTATATCTCGAACAACGTTCTCCACCAATTCGGAGTACACCTTCATCGCTGCCAATGTAAACTGACATCTAGAAAAATATATATTTAAATTTAATTATATAACTATACGGTTAAATAATTTTACCATATTTTTAAAATTCGGCATTAACATTTTGGGCAAAAGCTGGAAATATTGAAAACAAAAGAAGAATAATACAATTGTAGTGTATAATAAGAGTTGTTCTGTGTATTAAGATTCTCTCCATTTGCTTGAAGCGTAACAAAAAATACTTACTGTTTCTTTCACAAATTGCATGCTCTGCACATTGAAGCCTCCTTCTTTATCCTTCAGTTTCCACACCTCCACCAAACAGGCCCCAACGAATTGAGGAAGTATAGCCAACTTGATGACTGCACCAGCTTGAGTCGCCACGAACACTACGAACTGTTTACTGACAGCCTTTGCAGTAGTGACATCAACGGTGACGTGGGTGAAACGCTCTGATGTCATTTTGTAGACCGGTTCACCAAGTATAGGCTGAATGGGCTCGTTCATCAGTTTGTACCGTTGAAACTCTATAGCCTGATGTGGACTGAAATAAATAAATCCTTTTTAATGTCTGTTTTCTAAATTCTTTTTCGTTGCAGAAAAAGAATATTATGAGCTTGCAATGTTTTAGTTAGTTATAATAAGTTATTAATTTACAAAATGCAAATGCAAAATACCTTCTCTATCTTTTGTTAATGTTTATTGCTAGTTTTGTTCACATTTTACGGAACTGGCCTCAAAGATAACGCAATTGAAGGTCGTGATAACATGGATCAACGTCTTCATTGACTATAAAAAGTTTTATTCGAAAACACATTATTGAACTGGCTATTGTTTTATTTAAATGTTATTTTTCCACTTTTTATACCTTTCATTATAAACGTAATACCAAACAGTAAGATATAGTTAAAAGATAAGAATATCGTTATAAGAGATTGTCACAAGCAAGTACTGTTAAACTACCTGATTGTGACTTAAACCTTAACATTAATGTCTGTCAAATACTGATCACAGGATCAAAAGATTCCAGAAACTAGATAATAATGAAAAGCTAGTAATGAGGATCTCGATGACGTAATGGCTAGTGCGTTCAGCCCGCAATACGCTTTTTAAGCGACTTTAGCAATGACCGGTCATAGGATAGTGCACCAAAAATTTACTATCTTGAAGTCATCCCTGCTTCAGAAGGCACGTTAAGCCGTTTCGGCTGCATTTGCACTCGTTAATACCCACCAATCCACTGGACTCTCGTGGTGGGTCTTAGCCCAATCCCTCTATTCACTTCGATACATCCATGGGAAGGCCCAAGCCCCAGCAGCGGGAACAGTAATAGGCTGGTGTTGAAGATTATGAAAATAGTAATATAAATAACATCATCATAAAATGTTCCTTTAATTTACCTTAGGTCAGGCATGCATCGGAAGTGATCCCTAGCCTGCACTGTCGGAGAGCGCGGCTCCCACGTGGAAGTAGGAGTATCCTTCACTTTATAAGGCCCATCGAACGCTGCGTGTACATCCGACATATTATATATGCACACGGCACTACCAGCGATACTGTTACTGTAAACATCAAGATATGTATTATTAGAAAATCGTTGTTTTTGCTTCCAACAATGTTATTAAACATAATATTAGCAGGACCTATAAATAGGGTATGACACAATTTGTTTTCATCCTATTCGCATTAATTGTTATTCGAACATTGCCCCAATTGCATATGGCCGAAACAAAACAACAGCATTACAGAAGACTAATACTAACTACCCACATAAAAAACTAGCGCGAAACCAGCGCGAAAGGACGAGTGCACAGACACTTTTGACTGCATACACTTCTTATTAGTTTTCCTCTAAAGTATGAGTAAATGATATTCTTTTCAAATTTTATTTATTTATTCCACCACCATGTTAAAATTCGTTTATTATACATATTCACGTCCATCTTTATTTCACTAACTTGTTCAGTCGCTCACTAAAAAACAAACGTATTTGTAGCTATCGAATTGTAACTCAATATGTTCAGTATTTTTTCAATTTAGTTGAAACAGGTGAACAGTCAGACACGCGAGTCTGTTTTGTCTGTTCCTTTTGAGGTACGAAATCATAATCTTGAAAATTAAACTACATTATAATTTTAAAGGTATCCAATTATTCAAAAAGTTTGACGAACATGAATAAGAGGTATATATACTTCTGAATGCCGCATTGTTGTTTATCTCCAACCAAGAACCGTTATCGTCAACGCAACGAGTTTATCACTCGTTATACGATATGTCCGTTATCGTTTTGCAAATAAATCACATGGTTATTACTAGACAGCCTGTCTCCGCACTTATAAAATGACCTACCACGCGTAACAGTATACATATAAGAACAAAAAATAATATAATTTAATTTAAATTATCTTGATATTATTAAACAAAAACGTTAGTTTATCGAATTCATCTCATCATGCAAATTCGCGTCATATCATGATGGGGTTTGGCATCGTCCTGAATTATAATATTTAAATACTGAATAATAATATTTATTACACCACAACGAAATGAAAAATATGCGGTCTGCATTACTACATTTGACATTTGTATCAAATGTTATCTTGAACGCCTTTATCATTAAGCTAGCTGTAAAATCCAATTGTTGGTTACAATGGTGATCTTACGTTTTAATTACATAAATGTTGGTTATATCGTATAACCAATCATCTTTCAAACGAGAGGACAATCTTCTGTTTGCGGATAATAATCTCAACAATGTTATCTTTAATATATGACCACTAATTGTTTAGACCATTCCAATTCTAAAACTATCAGGACTTCTTACTAAGAATACTTATACAAACCTTGGTGTGGTGAATGCTGCAACCAGAATCTTCTCCTGAGGCAAGTACTCGACGCTTTGCACCTCATCGTAATGGAACGGCACATCGCCAGGAATAAGGCAGTTGAGACGAGCCTTCAAGTAAGTGCTCCATTTATCCTTCATCATGAGGTGGCCGCCAGGATCATTCTTACAGACTCGAGCGATACGCGAATAAATAATCTGCAAATAAGTATTGAAACTCATACGAGCGAATGCGATGATTTTTTGACGACTCAAGGCAAACCCAGAACTTTAAATACATATATTAGGCTAAAACCTCTTCGAAGGTAGACACACACAAGTTTAATTTACCAAACATTATCTTATCCTAAAAAATAAAATGAATCAAATCATGACGATATGGCAATTATGCTATCTTTCTTTTAAAACACGAAGATCATTTTTTTATCTACCGAAAAATTGCTTTTAAGTTAACATGCGCAAATGTTAAATTTGCGACCTCGTACAATAAATATAACACTATTATTTTGTCTCTCACAGGACTTTTGCACCAAAATAGTTTACATTACCGAAGGTTTTAAAAAAACAGGTATTAAAAAGGTGATTAAATGTACGGTGGTCAGAAACTTCGCATAAGACACCTGTATTCACAAACTCAAAGTCTTATGAAATAAAAGCAAATCAACAGATCAAACAGACGTGCTATCAAAACTATAAGACAATCACATACTAACCTTGCCGCAATTCATGAACTCAACAGCAATTTCCCTGAAGACGAAATACACGAAATGATCATCCTCAAAGCTACCAACGAATTGTGGCTCGTTCAACCAGTTCAAGTCATATTGGGGCGTCCGAAGAGTCTCTACCATCCGCGGTGCTGCACCTTTACTCCTGCAAAGAACACAAATTAATAAATATTTAAGCAAGTTCATATGCTTTTATCTCATGTATCTAAAGCCCTTGTGTTATTCTCAAGCACGGAGGTCAGCAGAATTATCTAACAGTATTATAACATAAATAAGTACAAAAATTACGATTTTCACTCCATACTCGTAAAATCAGTTTATTGTGGACTGTCTCGCCGTTTATATTTTTCTAACTTATGTGTTTTTAATATCGTACAGTAGGATACGACGCGACGAATAATAAAAACAAAGCCATATTCTTACCTGCATATGGTAGTATCAGAGCTGCTGAAGTCAGTTGGAGTTCCTGCGTAATATTCGCCGCTTACAGTCAACACAGCTGTGACATTAGACTGAGGGTTGTAGGGACAATGAGTTACACCACTCGTCCATTCCGTCACTTTGTTTATTGACTCGATCTAATGATAAAGGATAGTAAATCAATAAGTAAAGAGCGAAATTTACACAATTTACATGCTTCTGTTAATTGTAAGTAAAGAAGTACTGCCTATATAAGGTTTTAGAAATGGAATTGACTGATTGATTGACATTGTAATGCCCACGCATTTAGGTGGTATTTATATAATACGAACTCTTAAGGCGTTTTACATAATGTAAATGGTCGGTCAGGAATCAAAAATAAGCCGCAAGTTGCAAATACGTATCCACATTGCAAGACGCTTGGTTTTAACATGCAATCAATCTGACGATGTGAATACACACCTTAAGAGACCCTTACAAATAGCAAGATAAAAAGTCTTTTCATACCGAGAATAAGGAAACCACAAAACTTTAAAACATACTATACCACCTATTTTTAGATAGCATTTTAAAATATATGAGCTACTCTGTAAGCCTTAGCACAAAATAATATTACTTATCGATATTTCATATACAACAGTACAAGAAGTCGATATTCACGATATTCAAAGCACAGAAATAGAAAAGGTAAAACAAAAAAAAAAAAACAGAATATATCCAACGTGTGATATCCGGCGAGTTCGCGTATAATTACTCGACTTTTATTATTTATAAACTCAAACAAGCGAAGGCTTTTGTGTGCTAATTTCAAATCTGGTCTTGGACGAGCAGCAAATATTGATTAGTTTATATTTTTTACTGACAACTTTATTTTTATGAAACAGCAAAGCTCTTAAAACATTTTTAGGAAAGATTGTTTTTGTTTTACTACACAAAAACAAAAGTTAATTTATGCTTCACATCAAACTTACATAAGTTATAATTTTGAAATCTAGCAACACACAATTCCACGAGTAGCGCAGATATCCAGAATCAATTAATATAGATTTTTTTTAGATCAAATTTAATTCAAAATAAACAAAAATTAAATAAAGTATATCAAACCGTTATAAGCACTAAAGTGCCGCTAAAATTATTTTAAATCAATTTAAAGGGGTCGTTATTAATTTAAAGAACAGTTTTCTTAATTTTTTGGAAATTATATATCGATCTCTTCTATGTTCACACATTTGATTACATGTTATTAAATATTCGATCACTATTTTTAGCTCACAGTTTTCAATGAACATGGCATTTAAGTGTGGTAAGCACACAATAATTAGGATACTGTTGTCTTTAAAGTGCGCAAAAAAACCGATATGGGACGTTACAGCAAAGCGCACTTGTGTATTTAAATATAGCAATACAATCAAATGCCGCTTTGATAACAAAAGTGGTCATATGTCTAGCATCGTTATAATTTTGGTACTAACCTCTCTCCAACTGCACATTGGGCTAAATGCATTAGTTCCGCATGCAAAAACCCTGTGTCCGTGCGATAATAGAACTTTGATATAGTTATGGCAGTCTTCTTCTGTCTGGCCTTTGACTTGGCATAGTTTTGCCTTGTCCATTGGTGCCGGCCATTCAGACCTCTCGTAAACTCGGAGACTTCGAAGAGACAGTCGGTACAGAGAATCTCTGAAACAATATTAAAAAACCTAAGAAACTATTAACAGAGATGGTTCTAAGTAAATTTTTTTCCATGCTGCTATCGCAGCGTAGAAAGTGTAGAGTATTCCATCTTCATAAAAGCGCCCGAAACTGCTAGTCATACCACAGTAGTTAAATTAAACTCTATACTTATAAATAGCCTTTACCGTTTGTGATTCTCATATTACAGTTTATAATAATAATCTAAGTTATGGTGAAATGGAAACAAACACATGGAATATTTGCATATATACTGACATATTTATGTATGTATGTTTGTCATGTATATTCTATTATATGCAATTCTATTGCGATTCGATTCGATTTGGTATTGCACAAGTGTCTTTATTGACTTTATTTAATTTTTATGTAGTACCGCCTTATTAAAGTTTCTGTGTCATAATTCTCCGGTTGACTGAATAATAATAATTTTATATTGGCATTTTTTAGACTTGCTCCTTTCCGAGTATTAACAAAAATCCACTACATCTGAATCTAAAAAGCGTTAAAGTCAAAAACTAATAAACAGATTACATAATCTAGAAAAAATATTTTTATATTTATGGAGAAATCGGTGAACATGAATGAATAAAATAAATCTTCTCCTTTTCGATTTTAGATTTGGTCAAAAATAAAATTACCTAATGTTAAAACTGGTTAGTTATACTGTTTTTTCTTTCTAATCGATTCTATATGAAATAATCAATATCATGTCTTTATTTGTTAAGAAAAGCGAACTACCGTGATATTCATATCCTGTCGTAATTACCCAAATAAATATAACGTAATAATGATCTTTATTTTATTTGGTAACATATATCCGTTTGTTTATCAATGTAATTATAAGGTATCAAGGCATCTAAGCGATCCGTATCGACGATGGCTAGTCTATAAACATGTTTTGTGAGACGGACAGATAAGTCGTTTCCTCTGCAGAACCAGTTGTTGACAACTGTTTTTATCTCCAGTACTTGTTAGTGAGTTCCTTTTAAATAACTGTATTAAGGAAAGAAATTTAATTAATTTTAGAAACTCTGAGATAGAAAACCTCTTATTGAAAAAGTTTGATGTCTTTATGAATATAGATGAAACATCATTCATGTTTCATCTATATGCATAAAGTTCATGTAAAATAATGTCCGCAAGTTTTCTTTATTTGAACGCATTGAAAAATTTTCACAAATTTGAACTGACATGATTGCCACATTCTGCAACCTCTTTTTAATTACAAATCTGTGCTTCAATAATTAGACACAATATTTCAAAGGAGTTTTAATCGATTGCATTATCGATGTCGAACGACAGGGTCGATGTGTTTAATTTAATAAAACTCTTATGGAAACAGAAGAGTGCACACGGCAGCACAAATTTGACAATTGATTTGACTCCCGCTATAAATATATTAGGGTTTATTTAAAATCAAGAGGACAAATTAGACAGTATTGAATAACCTGACGTGCTGTTGAGTGTAGAACCGATTTATCAATTAACTGCCAAGGCGTGAGAAATGTGCACAAATGAGTACAGCTTAATTGCATATCGGCAATTATAATTAAGAAAATAGTGTGAGCTTCATTTGGTAGTGATTCAAACCTATAAATCAGATATTACTATAATAGATTCAAAATCAAAAGATAGATACCCCTGCATCAGTTCGACTAACACTTACTCATCTACTAAAACAATGCTGTAGATTCAAAAATAGTCGCTACAAATACATACGAAACTTAAAATTTATTTACAACAACTCTAACCTTAACATGTATGATATAAACACTATAGTTAATAAAGAAACTACAATTATATCGTATACTGAAAAAGGTCATATTATGTGAAATAATCTGAAAGATAAAAACTTAACATCAACATCAAAAATCATATATATTACCTTCTTTTATTAGAGTAATAGCAAGAGGTGTATCTCTCAGTAAAAGAGATAAAAAACTTAAACAAAGCTTTTAATTAAGACACCGAGTGCTATCTCCGAAAAGAAGGTATGCCATTGCGATTTAGTTAGTAGACCTACGATGACCCACCGTGAGTAACAGTGAAAGGTGACAGAATACCAATTTCAAATAAGACCTCAATGTAAACACTTATCTCGAAGTTATAATATAAATGAGGAACGAATCGTGCACATTAAAACTTAAAGGCTGATCAAATCCATTTAATAAAAGACTGACAGCATAAGGTAATTCTCCAAAGGAAATTTTCACACGCTCCCTTCTCCAAATCTGCAATTTGGATTGCTAAACTGAACATTAACACCGAAGTTTATAACTTTTGCCAAATGTTATCGATATCTGAAAGAGACTTGAGAACCACTTGGGCAAACATAATGTTTTAATAGCTGGCTCGATGCTTTAGTATATTGACATAAGACATAATATGCCAAACAACGTTACAAAAGTGCTTTGATCTAACCGCCGTTTGCTCTGTTGAGTAACAAAAGTTTAATAGCCAGAATGGGTGCAATATCTGCGGACATGGAAGGTCAGACTGTTCAATTATGCTTTTAATTTAAATATCTTTGATGAATTATAAAAGTAGTAATAGGCGATAAGATACGTAGGGACATATAAGTATAGAACTGAGCCTTGATTCTGCCATTAGCATAATAATGGCACTTCAAATGCATCATAATTATTTTCCCACTACTATATCTAACAGATGTTAAATATTATTAGCATAATCATAAATGAAAATAAATCACAGACGACACCTTATTTGATTATTCTTTGATACAGTAACATAAAGACGGTGTTATTGAGACGCCACTACCACGCCATAATTACGTTAATATTGCAGAATTGAGAAGTGTTTCCCAAACATTGTTATGCCATGGCCCGGTAATTTTCACACTGCATCTTCGTGACTCAACTAATATTTTTAAAAGCAAACTATTTTTTGCTCGGTAGCCCTCGAATCCTTCTGCATACTAAATATCCTGACAATCATTTGAGCTTCTTCCTTTAAAAAAAAACCTGCTAAGTACGAATTGGATTTGCATACATTGGGTTCTGTACATAGGGTTCGAACAACTCCATTAAAAAAACAGATTTGTTGTTTTCTATGGAGTTGTTCGAAATTTTTCGAGTTTAACACAATTGGTGGACTATTACTTGGCAAACTTTTAAAGGCAACTTAAGAGTGATAGTTTTTTTTAACTTCGTTATTTCTAGGTACTGCCGTAATGTTTTAATTTTTACCAACGACCGTTTAGCCCATAGAAGAATGGGGCTAATTGACTCTATCAAATAAATTAGCTCTTACAGCTTAACAAGTCACATTCTTGCTATACCAAAAAACCTTCGCACTCGCCCAATGTTTTTAAAAGTACATGTAGGGGAAGTACCCCAAAAAATATCATTTTCGGCGTCTTTAACGTAATATTAGTTATTAGTTACTGATATACATACTTATACAGGTAGCATTAGTTAGTTTTTGAGCTAAATCGCAGACGGACGAACGGATAGTTGGACACGGCGAAACTATAAGAATTCCTTGTTTACTACGGAATCCTACAAAAAGGCTTGTTTAAAGAAATTGGATAATATCCATTTATTAATAGTAAAAAGGTTTTATTACCTTTTAGTACAGTAAATACCACTTCATTTCAATAGAAAACCAAACACTTAATGGAGAGACACATACACTTGGTTAATACTTCAGAGATGAGTAAATGAATTATAAACCTTAAGTCCTATAACCTAGAGTGCAAAGGTTATTTAACCGATAAATAAGTACCAAGAACAGAGAAATTGTGTCAAGCGTTTATTACTGTGTGTTTATGATTTTAATTAATTGTTCCGTTTCAAGTTAAACGAACTGGGTTCGTCTACCTATGAGTCAATTCGAGACGTGTCTGTTTTCTATACTAATATTATAAAGACAAAAGATAAATTTATATTTGTTTGCATCAAATAGGCTCCAAAACTACTGAAGTGATTTAAAAAGTCTACACCTACGGGAAGCTACATAATATGCGGTTGACATAGGACCTATGTAAATTATAACCCGAGTAAATTATAACCTATGTCATAGGTTATAATTTACTCGGACTAAGTTGCGGGAGAAGAAGAAAACTCAATCTTAAAGATGCAATAAAATTTAACAAAAAAGTACTTTATGAAAGCAAACATTATCAAAATATCACTATATATTTTGATAATGTTTGCTTTAAGTAGCAATAAAAATTCAATTAAACGAAAGATTTGACATCACCAGCCTTTTGATGTCCCTATTGCTGGAGCTCAGGCATTCCCTAATTAATGGAATCAAATCAAATCAAATAGGGACAATTAATTGGCCATGCATGACCATGACCTACTACGCAGGCTTAGTGCGGATTGGTGGGTAATAACAACTTAAGATGCAGCCGGGACAATGCCTTGACAAGCCTTTCGAAGCACGGACAAGCTCGAGATAATAAATTTTTGATTACCCATCCCATGACCAACTTTTGCGAAAGTTGCTTAACAACCGTATCGCAGACCGAGTGCACTAGCCACTCCGCCACCGAGCAATGATATTATGGTGAAAAGAAAGGTGCACAACTCTTTATTTGCGCTCGTGTAAACTAACTGGTCCGACCTCGGTTGACAAACATAGGCAGGTCACGGAATTGAGTAACGCTTCATTTGAATGTTTGTTCTAAATATGTATTTCAATAATCATCTATTAAAATGCATTAGAGATCGTTAACACTAAATTCCATTTGAAGCGGACCAGTTTACAATGTTATTTAGTTACTGATATACATACTTATACAGGGTTGTCAACAAGTATTTTGTTATGGTTTACGCATTCAGTAATTAGACTCTTTTTATTATATTCAATATTTATTACATGATTGTTTCAACTAAATTAAACATTATTAAATTAAATCTCATTAGGTCTCGAACGTTTTTATGATTGATACCTTACTTTGTAATTTCACAGTATTCATTTTACTGTTAACGACAGCAATAAGAAACTTGAATATTTGT